TAATAGCCAGAACCTGGAAACAACCTAGATGCCCTTCAATGGAAGAATGGATGAAGAAAGTATGGAATGTATACATATTAGATAGAGTACTACTCAGCAGTAAAAAACAAGAACTTCTTGAATTTTGCATGCAAATGGATGGAAATAGAAAACATTATCCTGAGTGAGGTAAGCCAGACCCAAAAAGAGGAACATGGGATGTACTCACTCATATTTGGTTTCTAGCCATAAATAAAGGACATTGATCCTATAATTCGTGATCCTAGAGAAGCTAAATAAGAAGGTGAACCCAAAGAAGTTTTCTTAAATATATGTGTGAGTTTCTTGCCTGCACATATGGTATATGTGTGAGTTTCTTGCCTGCACATATGGATGTGCACTGGGTATATGCCTGGTGCTTGTGAGGGCACTGAAGCTTCAAATGGTTGTGGGCCACATGTGGGTGCTGGAAATTGAACCCAGGTCTTCTGCAAAAGCTGCAAGTACTCTTTAACTACTGGCCCATTTCCCCAGCCCCTTAGAGTGTATTTCTAAAGGCTGAGAATATAGCTTAGTAGTATAGCACTTTCTAGCATGCATGAGTCCTTGATTTCACTCCCCAGCACTTCAAAGAATTCTAACTAGAGCACAGAAGGGTTTATTTTTATTAGTGTATATTTATTTTACAAGTAATAGGTTTCATACATGTATATCACACATACTTATCTCTCATCCCTTCCCACTTCATACTGTTCCTTTCTTGACCCCAAATAACCCTTCTACTTTCTTGTTTCTTTTTTATTGTTAGCGTGAGAGAGGGGAGAGGAGAAAGAGAGAGACACAAAGAAAACGGAGCGTAGGGTCTTGTGCATGCTGCATAAGTGCTTTACTGGCAAACTAGATCTCCAGACCTCATTCTATTTTTAATTTTGAGACAGGTTATCACTAAGTTTCCCAGGGTGGCATTGAATTCATTCTGTAGGCCAAATAAGGCTTGAACTTAGTATCCTCCTACTTCAGCCTCTGAAGTACTGGGTGTTACAGGACTCTGCTGCCAAGTCCAGCAACTTTTGTGTTTAGCTCTTTGTATGTTCTGGACACTAATTATACTTGCTACTTGGTTTTCTCTGGCCTCTGTTGTTTCTTTTACACCACAGAAACTAATTCAATGCAGTCCCATTCGTATTACTAAATTGTTGATGTCCTCTTTAGAGAGCCTTTGCCTGGACTCTTCAAGTGGTTTCTCTGTGCTTTCGGTCTTTCAGAGACGTTTAATCAGTTCAAACTTTGATGTCACAGATAAGGAAACTAGCTAGGAATATGAATTACCTGTGGCCGCACAGCCAGTTTGTGGAAGAGCTGTGTCCACAGCCTTCGTCTTACCAATTCCCAAGCAAGGGGGCTTTGCTTGTCTTCTCACTCCAGTGGCTACACAAGAGCAATTTTTGAAAAGTTTTACAGCATTTGCTGATTGCCAATAGGTGTGACTGAATGCTCATGCACACTTGTACACAATCAATGCTTGTTGTTCATACTATTTAGTCATCAAACTTGCTACTTTATGACTCAAAACATGTTTACCTCCCTGCCTACATCCTTTTGGAGCTGTAATCATCTCTCATTTGCCTAGAGGAAAGAGATGATAGCCTGGCCAGAAAATGCACAGTGATAAGCTATGGGCAATTAACAAAGGCTTGCAGATTGAAGTTCGTTAATGTTCCTTTAGTGCTTTTGAAAACCAGCACTTGAGCCTGTCTCACCAATCAGCAATCCTGTTTCACCCCCACTTAACCTGTTCTTTTTTTAAAGTTAGGAATGTGGGACTAATGAGAACATGATTACATCAGGGAAGGAAAACAGAAGCCCCTTCATTAGGGTGGTGAAAAGGACAGGGATGAGTGCAGAGATTT